CAGGATGAAAATGGTCAGAAAGGTTACCAAGAGGCCTATATCAACTCTGAAGGAGCTGAAGGAATTTATGACAAAGAGTGGTCATTGTGCACAACAATATCACAAATTCTCCACAAATGTGGCTTATATGGGAGGGTTGCAAGAAAAAAAGCCACTCCTCAAGAAAGGCCACATGCAGTCACGACTGAGCTTTGCCAGAACGCATCTTGAAGATTCTGAGAACACATGAAAAAGGTGTTATGGTCAGATGACACTAAAATTGAATTATTTGGCCCCAAAACCAAACAATATGTCTGGCAGAAATCCAATACAGCTCACCATCCAAATGACACCTTTCCTACAGTAAAGCATGGAGGTGGTAATATCCGGTTATGGGGGGGTTTCTCTGCAGCAGGGACTAGAGCACTCTTCAGGATAGAAGGAGAAATAGATGGGGCAAAATACAGTCAAATTCTTGAGCAAAATCTGCTGCCCTCTGCCAGAAACTTGTCAATGGGCAGGCGGTTTACTTTCCAACAGGACAATGATCCAAAGCAAAAATGACCACACAGTGGTCGAAGGAGAAAAAGGTAAATGTCCTTGCATGGCCTAGTACAGACTTAAACCCCATTGAAAATCTGTGGAATGACTTCAAGACTGCAGTCCACAAATGATCACCATCGAATCAAATTGAACTTGAGCAGTTCTGCAAGGAAGAGTGGGCAAATATTGTGAAGTCTAGATGTGCAAAGTTAGTAGAGACATATCCCAACAGACTAAAGGCTGGAATGTAAAACAAAAGGTGGTTCAACAAAATACTGACACAAGGGGGTGATCCTCAGAAATTTTTTTTAAAAAAATTCAAAAACAGAATCACTGACATGTTGGTGTTAAATCTTTCACTTGGGAGTTTTAAGTTGCACAGAGTAAATACAGCTGGATAAAACTAAAACTGTGTCTGTATTCATTTTGGGCTGCGAAGCAACAAAATGTGATTATATGAAATGGCGTGATTCTTTTCTATACCCACTGTACATAGTCAGGTTGCAGAAAGTTCATTTGTTCAACCAATAGAATAAAAATCATTGAATAAATGTAAAACCCCCATATGCAGGATCTCATTCCTAAAGTTGATCCAGAGGAAGGTAAAAAAAAACATCTATAAACCGTGGTCCAATTCGTTCCAGTGGGAAAAATAAATTCCTTTCTAATTCCCCAGCAATCAGATATTACCTAGATCAACAATCTCTATTGTTTTTATTAGCCAGTTATTTGGTGTATTTAGGAATGCATCTAGCTCTTTTTTTAAGACATTCTACTGAGCTGGCCAGAACTGGTTCTTGAGATGAGATTTGTACATTTTCACAGCTCTTACTATGAAGAAGCCTTTCCCTATGTAGAGATTGCATCACTTTTCCTTTAGTCATAAAGAGTTCTCCTTGTTCTTTTATAATTACCCTAAAGGAGAAGAAAGGCAAAAGCTCTTTTGGCCCTACTTCTTCTATGGGTCATAGAAGTGCACTTCGATCTGCATTCCTGTGACCCTTTTTTAGCCGACAGCGGGCTAAAGCCCACTATTGGCTGACTTTATAGTTTAAATCCCCCCAGATACTTGGACCGATAGATGGCTCAGCCTCTAAGTGTGCCACTTAGTGCATGAGCCCGGTGCTCCAATGAGCACTGGAAGGGCAGGGCAGAGCAGAGAGCTGGTGATTGTCACCGGCTCTCTCAAGCAGAAGACTGAGAACATGAGCAATCAGCAGTCTTTGATCATTCAGTTCTCAGTCTTAGAGCTGATAGGAGACACATTTAGCATGTATCAATTCTGCATCCACCTAGGCCAGGGGTAGGCAACCTGTGTCTCTCTAGCTGTTGTGGAACTACATTTCCCATGAGGCATTGCAAAGATTACAAAACTGACAGTTACAGCCATGACCTGCAGAGGCATGATGGAACTTGTAGTCCTGCGGCTCTCAGGTTGCCACCCCTGACCTAGGCGAATATGACTGTTTGCTTTTTAAATCCCCAAACTTCTCTTTTAAAGTGAATGACACCAGGTTCACTATATGGACCACCTAAATTTAAGCTAAAGTGGATGTAAAGCATAGCTAAATGACATTTGGTTTGCTTAAACACTGTGTATCCTAAAGCTCAATTCTGTTCACAAACACTTTCTATTAAATACGTTCCTCTAAAATAAATATCCACCCCAATTACAACTGCTTTGGATTTTGGAAGGATATGAGAAAGAAACAATGTAGGTAGAGTGTAGGTTGGTATGAGCAACAACAGATATTTATTTTTCTTTACAAAGTCCTGCAGTTCATCTAGCCCACTGTTCTCACATTAGCCTTTTGTAAAATGAAAGCCTAACAATATGGCCGCCCTCTGGTTCACATTGGAGTATTGTCTGCATCAGCAATAAGTTCCTCTTTTTTACTCTCACAATTGCCGGCCTGGTCTTTCACCTCTGATTAGAGATGCTGCTTGCACTTCTCCTTCCATGAATGGCAGGCCCCTCAAGCTGTACTAATAAAAACGCCATAAAAATGTCTCATTCGGCCAAAGCTCAGGAATCCCATTCAGATGCTTTTTTTTTTTTTCCTTCTCTTTCCTCAGCATATAGAACTGGCAGCCTGTGTTATAATGCAGACGCCCTCCCTATCTCACAGCGTGCAGATTGACTCGACTGGAGGGGATGGAGTTCCGCTTCTCCGCAGTCAGCACATTATAATTAGAATCAATACCCGCAGATCTGTGTGTGTGCGAGTTCATTCGAGGTAACGGAGCTGAGCGCCGGGGAGGTGGGGGGAGCCGGGCCCTGAGATCTCACCGTAGCCCCAGCACTGCGCTGTCTTCATTCCATTGATTTATCTGGCAATGTAATTTGTGAAAAGGTCCAAAGTCTCCCTGGCTCGCCAACACCTGCTAACCAAGGGACAAGGACTTCTTTCCCCGTAATGGGGGGGGAGAATTTATCCTTTTCTTCCAGTATTTCACATGACAGCAAGATTACCTATTAAAACAAGAATATGCTGAGAATTTCACCAATTTTGAGATCTGTTCAGCATTACTCTCTTAAATAAAGAATATGGAGGGTTTTTTTTTGCAACAAAACAACCTTGCTAAGCTTTATTTGCAGCCAAGCTAGCCACTTCACATCATTCCAATTCATTCAGAAAAATAGCCCATTTCAGGAAAGGTAAACTTACTGGTTACATGATCCTTATACCTCTAGCAGTCGGCCACATATGAAAGAATAAAAGAAAAGATAGAGGGAACCTATGTACAGCGAGTGTTCTCAGCACGGCACAGCCACGCAGTAGGCAGGCAATATTCTCATAATGGAAAAGAAGGCATGCTATTTTAAAGGGGTTAAGTATTGGATTTCTGTATGAGCTGCTTTTCTGTTTCAAGGAAAGAATGTAAAGGAAACAATGATAATTATACAGGGAAAGCTTTGGGTATTTTGAAGGAGAGCATATTTAAAGATGATATTGCAGTTTTTTTATAAATTATTTTTGATTATTATTTCATATTACATTTGCTCTTACAATGTTTTGAGATTTGTAAATTAACCACTAGAGGGAGATCTGTATAAGGTTCAGCATTAGGAGCTGTGAGTAGTTGGATATTCTGGGTTAGGTCCAGATATTGGTTGGTCTGGTCAGGTGTTAGGGGATGGTTTGAGGTTCAAGATTAGGTTTGAGGGTTGGGTCAATGTGCCTGGGTAAGAGTTAGGTCCTGTGTCAACAGGCTTTGGGCTTTTTTCAATGGCATCAAGAAGCTTCTTTGATAATTCAGAATTCATTGACATTGTGCATTTGATCTGCAGTTGCCTTCCTTTTGGCATGCTTTAAAGCAGTAGTAAAGTCCTCTTTATGACTTGTACTTACAGGTGAGCCTATAATAAAGCTTACCTGTAAGTACAGTGAATATCTCCTAAACATGTACCGTTTAGGAGATATTCACATTTGTAGAGGCCTGTGACATCACTGCGCTCTGAATGGATAGCATACTACAGTAGTGCGCATGCCTGGGAGTGACGTCAGCGCTACCCAGCCATTCCAACCTAGATGGTAGACTGGGTGAAGGTGGGAGTGGTGACAGCGATGGAGGGCTTTATTTTAAGGTCTGTCATAATATGCTGGAATGCAGTGTAGACAAAGCACATTATGACTTAAGTTGCCTAGGGGCTCAATTTTTTGGTTTGTTTGTTCTTTACTACCACTTTAAGTGGGTTTTGCATTCCCATAGACTTATATAAGAATGCATAATCAAGTTGAAGCAAACGAAAGCCCTTGGAAACAGGCCCCTACTTGGATGTTAATGATGAGGTGTAGATGTTAGTTGGAGGTCCTAGGTCAGTGTAGGGGTGTGTTGGGGGTTCTAGATTAGGTGCTGAGCTTAGCTGGAGGTTCTTAGTTAGGTTTTAGGGGATGGTTAGAGGCACAGGATTAGGTTTTGGGGTTGGGTTGACATGCATGATTAGTTATAGGGGTTAGGTTGAGCTAGGTGAAGGGCTTAATTTCAGATTCAGGATATGGTTTTTTTTCTTCTTTTTTTTAGTTCCAGGTAAAGATTAGATTTTGTGTTGGGACTGAGTTGCAAGCTCTTGCTCCTTATTTAGAATAATGTGTTTTTGGGTGTGCTAAGGGTACAATTAAATATCTCATACGGTATAGATGTCCGCTCTAAATGTTTGTAGTTTTGGTTCAGGTTTATTTCATTTAGCATTCAGCACCCATACTCTTGGACCCCTAAAGCAATGGTCTGTACGATTTTTTTCAAAAGCTAAAAAAAAAACAAGATTATGTGCTTTTCTTTATCCAGTGTGTGGTTACTATTGCTCCTAAGGGTATTCTCAAGATAAAATACCAACATTTTTAAGTTTAACTGAAGCAGGCTTTTACGAAAACTGGACCTTTTTAGGTTGCATAATGGCAGGAATCTCCATGACAGGTAATTTCAAGTCCCTTGCTTGGAGTGAATATATTTATCCTTTTTATGTTCTTCTGCAGGCTCAGGGGTATACATCACCCGTGGACAGCTTATGAACTGTCACCTCTGTGCTGGAGTGAAGCATAAGGTCCTTTTACGTCGACTCCTTGCCACATTTTTTGATCGGTAGGTCTGTTTGCCTCTTATCTGTCCATTCCTTATTCTGCTGCCTGTAAGGTTATATCTGAAAAGGAAAAAAAAATATATTGATTTGTCCCAAGAAATGTCCTTTCTTTTCAGTAATGACTGACTGCATCGTAAAAATCACTTTCAATGTCTGCTAAATTTGTGACATCAATGGTTTATTGGATTTTTAAGAATACTTAACTTGCTGCCTGAGTCTCCATTGCGGAAATGGCAGGGCTGGATGGCAGAATAAGAAATCTTGTGTGTCAGGGTGCAATAAGGTATCAATGGGTCAGGAACAGAGGGGGGGGGGCATCTACCCACTGAGGGATAAAGACAGCAATGGAAACCAGTCAGGATCTAACCCTTCCACATTTTATTCATGCTGTTTTGGCTGGGGTCCAACTTTAAGGTTTGTACTCACTGCCATTGTTGACTTCAACAGCTCCTGCTGCTGTCAGTCAAATCCTGTGAGAAGGGTTTGACTGACAGCGGGATTTGACTGGACAAAAACTTCCCATCCTGCTCCTGGGAAAAAAACAAGTCGGGCCGACTAAAGCCCCTCTATTCAGAGGAAACTTTGTATTCAATGATTGGCAGAAGGCGAGGCGGGTTGATGACATCACAAACTCTACCTCAGCCAGTAGAACTGTGAAAGAGGCTGACCAGGTCAATGTCAAACTCTCCTTCCAAATGCTATATATTAGGGCTGTAGTATGCCAGTAGCAACCTCTATAAAGCTTTACTGCCCTGTGTATCCAAGTTGAGCTTTTGCATAAGAAATACATCTTCTGCTAATCAGTATGCATCTGTTACTTTTTAATGTATGTGTCTCTCATGCATCATTTTCTGTTGTTTCAGGAACACCCTTGCTAACAGCTGCGGCACCGGGATCCGCTCTTCCACCAGTGACCCCAGCAGGAAACCTTTGGACAGCAGGGTGCTAAATGCTGTGAAATGTAAGTTATATTACATTGATGGTGCTTAGTGAATTTGGTACAAGCACTGTTGTGCCAAAGGTATTATTATTCAGCATGAGCAGACCTTAAAGTGATTGTAAAGTCTTCCTTTTGTTTGTTTTTTTTAAACAAGTTTGTTAAATTTGCTCAGGAATTGCACAGAGCGGTCCAGAACCTCCTCTTTTCAGGTCCCCTGCTGGTGCTCCTGACTCCTCCTCTTTGTGTGTCCCCATAGCAAACTATTTGCTATGGGGACACACGTGTGGGCTTACTCCTGAGCCTTGCTGCTTGCATATATAGACAAAGCTCAGCTTGCCCCCACCCCCTCTTATCACAGGATTTGACTGACAGCAGCAGGAGCCAATGGCTCCTACTACTCTCATCTAAGCCTGCGAGAAAGGGAAATCGGGAAGGGAAAGATCGGCACAGTGTTGGATCAAGTCAAGATTCAGGTAAGTATTGCGGGGGCAGGGGTAAGAGGGCTGACACTACTACCTAAACATTTTTTACCCTAATGCTGGAAATGCATTAAGGTAAAAAATGTTTGGGGTTTAGAACCACTTTAAAAAGCAATTATGGCTGTGGCATGGTGTACGTGAGCTGGAGGGATGGGAAGTGTGTTGTACTACAACAACCTGGATATTTTTATCACATTATGTGTAACAACAAACGGCACACAAAAAGTATTAAATTAAAAATTTATTTTGTCCTTTTCTTTTTGCTTATTTATTGGGGTATCTTGTATTTAGAGGTACTTTACACAAAAAATGTGGTAAAAAAAGGTTTTACCCTTTTAATCCGGCAAATGCTTGTGTTAGTGTCTCTTTAAATGTTTGAGGTTGCTATTTGGATTAGGTTGCACAAAATACCTCCAATAATAAATACAACAAAAATACTTAGACACAAAAAGATCTCTGTTTATATTATTTTTGTAACATTTAAGCCAGCCATACATGGATTGGAATTCATCTGGTTCATCAGGGACCAGCCGAATTTCAATCCATGTATTGGCACTGTGGTTAAACAGAAGTTGATCTACCGCTCAATCAGCGCTGAAGGTTATAGCCTGTGGCGCTGATCAGTGTATTGTGACAGCAGAGAAGTCTCCCCACTGGCAGGATACAAACACTAGGCCGGGAGGTGTGGATGGGGGGAATCTGGACCGTTTTTTTTCATCTAAGCTATTGGTTGAATGAAAAAAAAAAAAAAAAAAAAAACGACTCATATATGGCCAACTTAAGGCTACATTCACATAGACTTAAAAATTTTACTGATCATAGTATGCATTTTTTTTCCCCCAATATGTGGCATATGTATTTTACATATGACGGCAGATGTAGAATTTTGGATTTTGTAATAAAGGTGTGAGCGCAGTGTATATTTACGCACCTGTTTGAATGTTTCCATTGAGAACAGTTCAGCTGCATTCAGACCCATAAATAAAAAGCATTTGTCAATTCATTTTTTTACAGCTGTGTGAATAAAACCCATTTGTAGTAGACAGCTGTCAAATGAGTACTCTGGTAATTCAAAATTGAAATGAATAGTGTTGATTACCTACAACTCTTTCATAATGTATGAATGGGCTAGAAGGTAAGCAAGGCCATTTATATGAATATGAGCATGTCTATTGAAGGTAATGGGGATTCACCATTGTGCCCATCTGAGTAGGGTGATTGGATTTGTGTGTACAAACACAAATCCATACAAGTCGAAGTCACTACAGCAACAGGGAGTTGCAGGCAGCTTCAAATTTAGAGAAAAATTTGAAAGGTCTATTTAACTACTGTCTCTTTGCAGTGCTTCAAGGTAGATGTAGAAGGCTGCTTCCCAGATCCTGCAAGTTACCTGCCCTCTGTCTTAAGCCTGCTAACCCCAGCACAGCATAGATAGCTCTGGCATCTCACTCTCTCCCTTCAGGTACTCAGTCTGCACACAGGACTCCTCCAGTGCTGCTCCCTGCAGTATGGCCTACAGTACAGCCGCTAAATGGGTGCGATGGGGCATGACTGCCAGTACAACTGATGGAAATGTGGATTAAAGGTCTTGGGTGGTGACTTTAGGAAGTCAGAGTATCAGTAATGAGAGCAATGTTGTTGGTGGGGAAGTTGAAGCGGTGCTGCTGTGTGGGGGCTCACTACACAAACACCACCTACACCAGAAACATTGTTCATATCGTTTCTTTTGAATGCTTATAATTTTTTTCTGCATGTGAAAGTGTTGAATATCAATCTCAAATGATAAATCATGAGTGGTTATAAAAGAGAAAAAACAACTAGTCTTCTGTACCCTAATATTTATGTTGTATATGGAGTACATGGAACTCATGATATATATAGGGTCTTCTTTCTACAATTTGGTGACTGGATTTGCTAGCACTGTTCCTATCCCTCACTGCACATCTACCAGTTAATTGATGGCTGCTATGCACTGTGGCAGGCTAGTGATGGGAGCACTGAAGCTGGCTAGTGTGGGGGGGGGGGGGTTATGGGAGCACTGAAGCTGGCAAGCGTGGAGGAGGGGGGGTTGATGGGAGCACTGCGGCTGGCTAGCGTGGAGGGGGGGTTGATCGGAGCACTGTGGCAGGCTAGTGATGGGAGCACTGAAGCTGGCTACCGTGGGGGGGGGGGGGTGATGGCAGCACTGTGGCAGGCTAGTGATGGGAGCACTGTGGCTGGCTAGCGTGGTGGTGGGGGGGGGGGTTGATGGGAGGACTGTGGCAGGGTAGTGCTGGGAGCACTGCGACTGGCTAGCGTGGAGGGAGGGGGTTGATGGGAGCACTGTGGCAGGCTACCGAGGGGTGGGACATCATGTTTTACTGCACCAGGTGACACCAACCCTAGTTACGCCACTGCTGCTGGGTACACACAGGAAATTTAGTTTTATTCAACCCAGCGGGCTGAACAAAAAAAAAAAAAGCCTACAGATCGCCATACTAACACATCTGATTACAGTGTGGTAATCTCTTCTGAGCTATTGTGTTCTGATAGGGGGACCCCCCGCCAGGGCGCACTGATCAGCGCTTGCAGCCATTGGGCTGATCAGATGCTGGTTTTCCAGCATGCTTGTTTGACAGAAGCGTTTTTGGCCCATGTGTACCAAGCTTTACAGTAGACACTGTATTTTTCTCTTTGGACAATTAGAATTCTCTATTTGTGTAATGTCCTGATGGCAGTTTGTACATTTTTTTTTAAATAATTACTAACGTGACACCTGCCTACTCTGTCCAATGGATTTTCACAGAGCAGCCCCAATCCTCCTCTTCTGGGGTCCCCTGCCAGCACTCCTGGCTCCTCTCCCTTGCCAAATGCCAGCAAGCCACTTGCTTTGGTGGCACTGATGCGGGCTTGATCCTGAGCCACCCTGTGTGTCCATATACACACAGTGTGGCTTGGCTCTCTCCTGACAGGCTTTGACAGAGCAGGAGCTAATGTCCCCTGCTGCTGCCTCCATGTCCACTGAGGAGAGAGCGTGCAGAGAGATACACAAGAGCAAACTTGGGTAAGTATTTAGGGGGGCTGGGGGATCCTACTTAGAAACATTTTTTTATCTTATGCATTAAAGTGTTACTAAACCCAGCACGCTGCATTCACTATATCTGCACTCCCACAGAACATGGAAGTGTAATTATTTCATTAAATATAAACTGGTAAATACCTTTTCTCATCAGCAGTTTATAGCAGTCTTGAGACTTCTATCAGTGTCCAGCCGCGCACATGTTAAAGCTTGTAGGAGGAGTTTTCATTCTGTTCTAGGAAGATGTAGAACCCATGACCTCTGTCTGGACAGCACTGATTGGCCCTGTGCTGATCACATGCACTCTCCCAAGAAAAAAAAAAACCCATTCTAGCAATACACACCAAACTGATCATGTGGAGTTACTCTACACATGATATCTCTTATTAGAATAGAAGAGGGGGGACACTGGAAGAAGGGGAAGAACAGAAAAGATAGAATCAAACAGCATTTTTACTCAGTGCAGAGTATTAACCCCATTAGGTACTACAGCGAGTATAACCAGCATGCTTTACTGCATATACAGACTGATTTTACCATTTTGGGTTTAGTAACACCTAAAAGCAAAAAACCTTCCTTTACACCAACTTTAAGCTGTGTTTTTTATCCCCTACTATGCTTTCTTCTGGTGGTTACAGGGGAACAATACACCTCAGACATTCTATTGACTATTGAATTCATCTGTAAGTAATATGTTAATAATGATCATGTATTATATATCAGTTTAAAACGTATGTAGTTGCAGTTGTGGTTCTTACTGTTCCTTCAACATGGTACAGTTTTCACTTCTCCTGATGAAGGAAATCAACTGACTTGTGAAATGCATTGATAAATCCTAGATTGCAAGCTCGAAAGAGCAGGGCCCTTGACCTCCTCGTGTTTTGTTACTGTATTGTCTCATGTTCTGTCTCCCACTATAATGTACAGCGCTGAGCAAACCTTTTAGTGCCATATAAATACTGTATAATATAATCCACCCCATCACTGCAATTGGCATTAAAGACCACAATAATACTTTTATATTCATGTGTAAAGTTGCCGTACTCCACATATATAGCATCAATCTATTAAATTAAGCCTTATAGGTACAATATTAACACATATAACCAAACATCTAATGGAGAGGTTCATCTCTGATATAAGGTATTACAATACCTGGCTCCAATTAAAAACCAATAGAGAGTTGCACACAAAATCTTCACTGTGGAATCAAAGTACTTTTCCCTTTTTTTAAATACAGAACATTAAAATGTCACATGAATTTCAGTCTATACCACCAGAGTGGACTGGACATGAAAAGCGCCAAGTACTATGACCCTCTCGGCTGATTAATCTTTTGCTTAGTCACTAAAGATTACAACGTTTATATTACAAGTCAAATGCAGTGTAATTCAAGCCAAACACCCATGTAGCACGAGTCCTGAGATTACCTCTTGGGAGTCAATACAATTCACATTACTGCAGGTGAAAGGTAGAAGTCAGAGCAGTGTTTACAGAAAGTATACAGTTTAGCAGATAGTGTGGTGACTGAGCAGACAAAGTATAAGATCAGAGATATGAAAAAAGCAAACTTTTATTTTCTTTACAGATCTGAGGTGTACCTGTAATAGAGAATATTAGTATGAAATGGCAACCCAGTACTATTGCAGGAGTCTGTGCATAGCCTAAAGTGGTAATAAACCCAAAAGCAAACATGTATTATATTGCAGCTTACCACTTCTTAGATGTGATGGCTGCAGTAGATTTCTTTTTTTAGGCTTTCTTTATTATCACCTGGTGAAGTGGTCAATAAGTTGTTTTTCAAAAGAACAAGCCCTCCTGCAAATATATAAGTTAAACGTGTTGAGCCAAACCATTTACCATGAACGGGTGCTTACAACGATAAACATTTATTCACTTAAAACCTTTATCCCAAAAGAAAAAACACCTGTTGCTGTAACTGCTTATGTAACTGCTGTGTGACCTGGAGTTTGTCTTCAGATTGTTAGTGTATCTAAATCTGCTAGTACATGTAACACTCCCCTCCCGATTAACAATGCTGCTGTCTGCTGTGTCCCTTTATCCAGAGTGGCGGCTCACTAATACAGAAGATGTATTACTGGCCAGATCACCAGGTGAAACAGAGGGAAACAAACCTAAAAAAAAGATTAATGCAGCCACCACATTTAAAGATTGGTAAACTGCAATATATTAAATTTTTTGTTGGTTTTGGATTTAATATCATTTTAAGCTATCCTTAGAGTGGTATGGGGCATTTCACATAGGAACATACTGACTTTATCCTGGAAGATGGTGCTTGAGCCCATCCTTCCTGGCACTATTACATGGTGCTTGAACCCATCCATCCTGGCACTATTACATGGTGCTTGAACCCATCCTTCCTGGCACTATTACATGGTGCTTGAACCCATCCATCCTGGCACTATTACATGGTGCTTGAGCCCATCCTTCCTGGCACTGTTACATGGTGCTTGAGCCCATCTTTCCTGGCACTATTACATGGTGCTTGAACCCATCCATCCTGGCACTATTACATGGTGCTTGAACCCATCCATCCTGGCACTATTACATGGTGCTTGAGCCCACCCATCCATTCTGGCACTATTACATGGTGCTTGAGCCCATCCATCCTGGCACTATTACATGGTGCTTGAGCCCATCCATTTTGGCACTATTACATAGTGCGAGATGGGTGGGCTCAAGAATGGATGGGTGGGCTCAAGCACCATGTAATAGTGCCAAAATGGATGGGCTCAAGCACCATGTAATAGTGCCAGGATGGATGGGGGCTCAAGCACCATGTAATAGTGCCAGAATGGATGGGTGGGCTCAAGCACCATTACATGGTGCTTGAGCCCATCCATTCTGGCACTATTACATGGTGCTTGAGCCCATCCATTTTGGCACTATTACATGGTGCTTGAGCCCACCCATCCATTCTGGTACTATTACATGGTGCTTGAGCCCATCCATCCTGGCACTATTACATGGTGCTTGAGCCCACCCATCCTGGCACTATTACTTTACATCCTTTCTTGTAATGAACAGCCTCACTGACCAAAGGGATATTTCTGATTTGGAGTCCCTGGAGCTTTTGCACATCTCTTTTATCATAAAAAAAAAAACCCTACTTGTTAGCAATTTTAAAATTCAAACTTACTCTGCAATAAAATCCTGGGGAGGATACCTGCCTACCCAAAAAAAAGCACAAGTACAGGCATGGGGCCCTAAAGAGCAGTTATGTTGCGGGATATTTTTTTCCATTAAAAAAAAAAAACTAATTCTTAGCAGTAGTTATTCAATTTTGTATTTTTTACATTTATATATTCTTTTGCATATTTTCAGTGTATTGCCAGAACTTTGCACCCAATTTCAAGGAGAGTGAGATGAACGTCATAGCAGCAGACATGTGCACTAACGCCCGCAGGGTACGTAAACGCTGGCTCCCCAAAATTAAGTCGATGCTGCCAGAAGGTGTGGAAATGTACCGTTCTGTGATGGGTGCAACAGCTGCCGGTGTCACACTGGAGTCAGAGTTCCAGCCCAGTCCAGCCCAGGTGTTCGAACAACGTATCTATGCAGAGCGGAGAGGAGATTCTGGCGCTATAGTGTCCTTGAGAACTAATGCAGCAAACATAGACCTCACCGCCAACACAAGTCCTCCGTTCGAACAGAGCCAGGAGGCTGAAGGAGCAACAGGGTCCGTCATTCAGGAGGTAGGTGGCACTGATCCGTTGACATCGGACAACCCAAGCTCACCTCCAACCTCTTTCGAACAAGATGCCGGCTCTACCAGTAGGCCAGAGACCCCTGTGCGGAGACAAGAAGCTTCGTACAGTGGGACTTTATAGATTGTGAAGAAAAGCCAACAGGGAGTCCGCACGGTGACCTGTAAGGGAAGTTGTAATTCTAGCGCTGCTTGCATGCATTACTAATACGAGAAAAAAAAAACAAAATGTGATCAGCCACTTACTTCAGAACTGCTATTTTTGCCTGACTAAAATGTGATTTTTATTCTGCTTGTATTTAAAACAAAAACACTCAAAAAACAAAAAAATTACAAAGGAAAAATAATCGCATTCGTTATACTGTAAACGATCAGGTCGAATGAGACCTGCTTAGTTATAAAACAAAATGGGCTCATTTTTAAAATGGAATTTACTCTACTCTAATGAATGCATATATTTGTTTTATCTTCCACTCACAAAAGCACGTGTTTAAGAAAAAAAAACGTAAAAGTAAAAATCGACACCGTTCATTAATCCATTCATGGTTAAAATGGGACATTACCGTCACTTATCGTCTGTCATCCTTCCATTTTGGAGCAAGAAATTTCTTGGGACTATTGAAATCTGCAAAGCAGGTTTGGGGGCCATCAAATGGCAAGTTTGTATGACATTGTGTATTAAAACTGAGATATTGGCCTTGTTTGCAATTCACAGTTTAATTACTTTTTTTTATTTTGATTAAGACTAGCCTAAAATGTCTAGTTGTGAGAGAATGCAGACTTTTTGTTGAATCCACTTAGTATTTCCAAAAGTAAGTAACTAGTAGTAGCCAAACCTGTCATTAACAGGGTGTTTAGGTGGCGACTAAAGAAAGTTCTAGTTGAATTGTTTGGAAGACCACCTCATCAGTAGAATTGATCATTGTTGGTTTACAATCAAACCAAACCATTAAATAAAAGCCAACAAGCTCTATTACATTGTTTTGGCTTTGTTACCCATGTTAAAAGTCATAATCTAGATTTTTACATTTAACCAGGAATTACTTCCATGTGAAAGTGAAAAAGTTGTAAAAGAAAATAGTTTTTGCACTGTTACAAATGTTCTTCTAAAACAATAACAGATTTGGTGTAATTTTTTTATTATATACAGGAGAGATATAGTTAAAGGAGTATTGAACTTTTTTCATTGCATCAAAAATTCATATATCTAGTTATAATTAGGGCATTTGGCGAGAATCTAAAATGGATCTTTGCATGTATTGAAAACCATTTTATGGTTTTATCTATGAAACAAACGTTAACGGTTTTTAATAGCTAGATTTTTTTTTTTTTTTTTTTTTGGGGGGGTTTAAAATCGGAAGAATTCCTTTCCTTGGGCTTAGTTGTTAAAAGGAAACATCTATATTAACCTGCCTTATAAGTTGTTTGAAGGATACATGCTTGGGCATTTTCATTGATGCAAGTAGATTGAATGCAACACACATTGTTTTGTATTTACTGAGCTCTGATTGGGTTGATTTATGCTTCTGGGAGGGTATTCAGGCAAATACGTCTTAGTGCATAAGTTGAATTTTGAGGCTCCAGGTTTTTGGAGTCCGCTTAGTCTTGAGGTTCTTGAATACTACTTAATCTTGGCTTCTCTAAGGTCCTGTGTGGTGTTTTGAGATTTTAGAAGTCAAAGGGGCAGTTCCATCTTTAGGGCTTTCTGTATCTGTTTTAGAACTCAGAAAGATGTACAGTGTTCTAGGCCTTTGCAAAATTTTATTTGGGGATTTTGAAAATGTTTTGATACTTTTTTTTATTTATTTTTTTTATCCATTAGCTAATGAGATTATCTAAAGAAGCCTATGCCGTTAAAGGTTTTGTGTTTATTTCATGCATGTAAAAAAGAAAGTCTAGCTGTTTCTGAGCAATTAGAAGACAGTCTGGATAAATTACAGATCCAGCCTAGAGTAGCTTTTGGCCTTCTTATGTTCTTTCCTTTTCCACGGGAACATTATGTGTTTACCACACACTGCATTTGTCATGTAAAATCAGATTATTGATTTTTATATCAGTCTTAATGCATATTTTAGAAAGTATTCCCCTCTGCCTTCTGGATATCTCCCAAGCTGCCATAAATTAATGGAGTTTGTTTTTGATGCATGCTTTTCCCAGAATCCTCTGGGGGTCCTACAGATGAGGTAGGATCAGGTCATCAGTTTTGACTTTCTCCTCTCGCTCAAATGTGAATACATTTTTTTTTTTTTGGCTTTAGATGCAGATTACTTGCACTTTATGAAAAACACTTATATTAGTATTTCCTAAAAGGCACAGAGCTTCTCAAATTGATTATTTTGAGGAACAGAATATTTGATGTGCACTTCAATTCAGATAGTATTATAGTATTAATCACAAGAGAAAGACTTTGTTAAATATGGAAAGAGAAATGAGCAAGTCCAGTTGTCGACTACATACCAGTGGGAAGAATGGAAAGAAAAATGAGTGAGTTCAGTTGTCGACTACATACCAGTGGGAAGATAGATAAGGTCAGCACAATGCCACTTTCTTGCCTTAAAAGATCCACAAAAATAGGGTAAAAGGGACCACCATGAAATGGAGGACAGTGATAATTTACGCCAAGGCTGAACAGCATGATCAGTAGTAGCAGAATTTTAAGCCTGTCGGTTCTTGAAGTTTCTCAGTACCTAAAAGGCTAAGTGCTTTACAGCCCTGGTTGATGTAAGAGGCCAAGCTTCACTGCTCATTTGTTAGATGAGCACCATTAAAACTTGTTAAAACTTGTTTATGGGGTCTCCAGCCAATGCCATGTTTGGAGCTGCAAGCAAATGGCTCGGAATGTAGAAAATACTTATTCACAGTCAGTTTGTGATCTTTGTTTGGCTTCTTAAGTTGTTGGATTGTTTAATAACTGTATGAAAACTCAACACTTGCGTGTTTACAGGCTCTGGCTTTGAGGGTACATTATTGGCATATTGTAAACTTTGATTAGTGAAAATGGACATATACCTTGCTTAAAAATACCCATAGCTAAGAGCCATTTTCATCCTATAAGTAGCAGTTCTGACTTGTATTTGCAAGGACTAAACAGTCTATGCATTTGCAAGGCAAAATAGAAAAAAAAAAATCTGGACTGAATATTTTTGGGTGATAACAAAACAGGAAGGCTGTTATTAACATGTAGTGTTTCTAAATAACCATGGGCCAACATCTATGGGTATTTTAGCTAGCAAAGACTCAAATTATGTTACTTAAAAAGCAATGCAGTCAATCTATACACAAGAGCAATGAGCTTATGTTAAGTTGGGATCATTGGCTGGCAGTCATTGAGGAAGCAATGTTTGGGTCATTGGTCCCTGGTTAATCAATCCCAGTTAAGTTATGTCCGGACCAAAATATTCTCTCTGAGATATAGCCAAATGACCAGGTTAAGAAAAAAAAAAACCCTCTTTTTACTTCATGGATTGATGTCAATTGGGTTCTTTATACTATATACAAATGGCTAGCCATGATATGAAATGTCTGACAAACACAACATTAATTATTACAGGTATTTAACAGTTTAGAAATGAGATTTAGGCACAAGCTAGTAGACTATAGTTTAGATAGAAGCAATTGAAATACAAGGTACCCTCTTTAGCACAGTGGACCTTGGGGATGGTATCTGCAGTGCAGGTATTAATGTATTTGAAGATCAATAAAGGTTAAAACCAAAAGCGGTATTAATCTGCAGAACTTATGAGAAAGCACTTATTATATTTGGAGTGAAATGCGTGAATGTGTGTGTTTTAAGTGATTAGATTTTGTGAATCAGTGGCAGTTCCGGAGAAAGAAAGGCCTTGAATGTAGAATATGTATGTTTTTTTATGAATGTTCTTTAAAATCCCAATTTCATGAGTCAAAACAGAATGCTTTTAGGCCATTTTGGCCCAATGTAGAATAAAATTCACTTATTGCACAGACTGTATAAACAAAACTAAAGTGATGTAGAGCATAACTTGATTTGGGGAGTTAAGAGAGGCACCTTGCACAATGGGAGAGAAATATATATTTTTTATTTACCTGATTTCTTCCTGTATATATTTTAGTTTAGGAAAGCAGAAGATGTAGGATAAAACTGTTTAAAAAAAATGTGAATGGTATAGGACTTACTATCACATGGTGATGCACGTAAGTCATTTGCACTAACGTTTTCTGTGTGTCGAGGATTAACTATGTGAAAGACCGCGTGGATGATCGTTTCTAGTTCTGGAAAGATTTTACAAAAATAAAAATTAAAAGGGTTGTTTTGAATGTTCCGAGAACTTTGATTGTATAGGCTTTCCTGAGTGCCTTATTTTTTTTCCTTTTTGCTAACGTGAAAAATTATTACATTTCTTTTATGTCTGTAGGTGGAAGCTCAAATCATTCTTCCTAAAGGGATTAGACAAAGTTTATTAAATCCCTCTTGTTTACAGCAGTGTATTTGATTAGCCAAAAAAAAAGCGTAGGCTATTGTCTAGCATTTGGAGTAGGTTCTGTACAAAACAAAAGTAATTTTTGTTGTTTCAATGAACATTTCTTGCAGTCTTGGCAATATAGACATGTCTGTGTTACAAAAGCACTTTCCTCCTCCCAAGCATTTCATAGGATTTTAAAATCTTAAAGTAGAATTAGTATGCAGTATTTTTTCTCAAAATGTTTAATTTTATTCCTTGACACATCCTTCTACAAAATGCAAATGCAGAAGAAAATTAACGGAATTAATTTTAAAAAAAAATTCAGAAATATAATGTACTGTTATGTATGTACATACAGTTCTAAAATAGCACATTTGGTGCTGATTCTTCTTTGATCTTAGACATAGTTGGGTGACACAAAGCCTGAACATCCTGCTATCTCAGTCTACACATTTAATTTTACAGTATAACACTGTATTTTATGGTTACATTACATTTATAAAAGACCAGAATGACCTCTTGTCTTACTCCTTCATGTCTCACTGTGCTGCAATTACCAACAGATCAGAATAGTTTAAATACTATTAGTGTTTCAGAAAATGTATATATTTTACATTTTTAGCTAGGCCCCCAGAAAAGAATGAGTTCTGCTTAGTTCTTTGTGGGAGGTTAACGCAGTGCCAAG